TTGTTTGCTTGTACAGTATATGAATATATTTGGATCAAGCTTTGCAAATATATTGATTTCATACTAAGCTTTTAACATTTCACTAAAAACACATTATATTACCCTCCCTGTAGGCAGCAAATCTATTTACTCGTTAAACCTGAAGAATTTCAATAGATAGAAATTAAATTCAAATCAGGTAAATGGAACTCCCACAATAGGATTCTTGGATTCCAGCCAAACAACTTATAAATCAGAAAATAATGCATACTGTGAAAGATGCTAGGTAACAAGGTCAGTGAAGTCTTTAGAGCAGAGATGGTTAAATCGATATGTCTGACAGTGGTAGAAAAGCTGAGTGATGTATGGATAGGAGAGTGTATGGGGCGCTCACGCACGTCCATACACCACAGTCAGCTGGTCAGCTCGACCTTGGCCTTGAACTTGTTGATAGAAGCTACCTTACAGATAACTTCGGCCGATAATTCAACTTCAACCTATAAGTCAACTTCGTTTCCTAGGTAATTAAGGCTAGGTCAGAGTTGCTCTATTTGAATAGTAAACCGGTCAACGGGAAATAAGCTGTGTTATCTTGGTAATATGTGCGAAATTGAAAGTACACCATAACTGTATATGTCCAGTTTTAAGTAATCTTTGATTAACATTTTTACACAATATGGTCCTTTCTGGAGGTGATTGTATTAGTTTATTAAATGGCAGGGATTGGCGAGCGTCAATACAGGAGATCTTAATACAACAATGTATTAATAAAAAAACTTATCTTAAAATTTAAACTTGCTCCCAAACTATTTTCAAGTTCATGACAATAAGCCAATTTAACTTTAATTAATTCAAACAATCTGATTAAATTGTATTTATATTTCTGAACATTAAATTCTTGGTTATACATTGTTGGTTAAAGGTAAGATGTTAAATTTCATTTTAAAGGAATGGAAGTTTAGTTTTGAAACTGTTATGATAGATTTAGTTGTAGACGAGCCAAAATCATATCGGTCCCTGTTTGGGAAATTCGTTTGAAAATTGATAAGTAGATGTTTAGAATTATAGAAGAATAACTTAAGCCAAAACCCCGTTGTTTGTGAGAATGTTTAAAGTCTCCCTCTAAACAAACAATCTCATAATCAAGATGTACAATGAGTCCAACATAACCAAATGTAATAAAACGGGGACTTACCTGCGCGTAATGAAAAAAACAGCCAATCAGTTGCGCTTCTGGCCAAACTAATTGGGCAGCATTTCGCATAGCTGTCTCAAAATCCGACAGGATGATTTGGGGATTCCAAGTCGGGATCTCCCCTCGGATGTAGCGTAGAACTCCGACGTAGGCTGCTTGGCTTTTAGATGACATTATGGCGTATGCCACAGGAAACAGCTGTAAATTTAATTTTCTAATTAATCTGAATTCTTTTTGCCTTTGTGTAAACAGTAGACATTTAAAGTGAAGTTACTGACAAGTGCCTTAAAATAAGCCTCTTATAAACCATTTTACTCATGAGGACTTAAACGTCTGTAAGCGCTTCTCGCAGTACTGTTCATTGGTGCAACACAGCTACTGTAGCCCGAGCTGAGACTTCCGAGCAGAGGTACAGCTCTTAAAAGAGAAAAATATTATCATCAAAGGCTTACTTCTTCATTTTACGTCATACCTTTGCAAACTATTAATGTAATATTTCAAATAACAATTATTAAGTAGGTTAAATTGGATTTATATTAAAATACTCACTTCATGCATGTACTCAGCATAGACTGTTAACAGCTGATATGCATTCATCTCCTGTGGCAACACCTTAAACGTAGCATCCATCTGCAGCCTTGTCTTTTGTTGCAGCATGGGGTCATTCTGCAGCCGCGGGGATATAAAAACTGCCGCAGTCCAGCCCTATCAGACCACGAAAAAAGTTCGCAGCATCCTCTATACCATGCACCCCCTTCAAGTGGCTGTAGTCTGGTCTTTCAAGGATTGCCGCAAACTCAGCCAGTGAATGCGGCATTGGAGGCTGTCTTTGTCTCCGAAGGCGGTACTGATTGGATCTCACGGAGGGATACCCGATCAGAGGCGCAGCAAGAGGGAACCTGAAGCAAATATGTTTATTCAATCAATTTATTTATTTCATATATACTATCAATATAAGTAACGTTTGCGCACAATGATTTCAAAAACTATTCCTATGATTTTCTCTTATTTGTTGTAAATAGCTTAGTATCAGTATTACAATTAAACCAACCCCCATTCCAAGCTATGCTCTTGAAAAATTAGTTTTTCGTTTAACACTTAAAATTAAATTTAATAATTTCAACATTACTCTTATGAATAGTCAAGAAGCTATGACAGTTTGAAGAAAATGTAAATAAATAAATTGTTGCAAATGCTTGTAAAAAATCATCTACAGTTTAGATGAAAATAAATAAATACAGTATAAAGAAGAAAATAACATACAAACGGCTATAATACAACAACAGATGTAGTGTTGAACATTATAACTATTGTAAATTCGTTCATGTTCATCTATCATCAAAACTATTGTAAATACTTTCATGTTCATTTATCATCAAACATTAACTATTGTTTAAGTACTTTCATGTTCTTCTCTTACAGACATTAACTATTTTTTAAATACTTTCATGTTCATCTATCATCAGACATTAACTATTGTATATAAAGTCATGTTTATCTTCACATTGATTTAATTAATTAAAACAAAACAATGTAGTAAACACAAAACTCTAAGAAAGCCTAGAAGAAACAACCTGCAACTCTTGGCCTATGTAACTCAGTCTGAAGACACGAGCATCATGCAGTCGTCCTGGGTAACCAGTTGACATGTTGATGAATCTGCATTTGTTGTCAAAAATTCCTTGGAGAATTATAGAGTGGCGCTGCTTGCGATTATAATAATCAACGCCATTTCTCACTGGCTTCCTGATGGGGATGTGGGTACAATCAATAGCTCCAACGATGCCATGAAATCCACCAGAGCGGTCTTGAAATTCCTGTAAAGGTCATATCAAGCTAGTGACTAAAGTAGAGGAAGAGGCACGATTAATAAAACCGAAAATGAAATAAATACATATTTGTTTATATGGTTATTTCATTTAAAGTTAATTCATTGATAAAAGTGCATTTCATGGGACTGGGTTACTGTAGGCCTAGTTACAAATTGGTAACTTTTGACTTTTCAAGGCGGATTACAAACATACAATCCATCTGTCATGAATTAAGGAAAAGCAAAAACATTAACCAATACTTGCATTAACTTATTCATATTATAGCCTTATAAGACTAATTGTTTACTCACATCAGCAACCCTTTGCTATTGAAAAGGTGTTGGCCATCTTATATGGTCATACCTCATTTCAGCAATCTGGTTTACGATTTCTTAAAAAAAAAAAACGGTGGGATGTACATTTGGAAAAGCCGATCCTGTCTCCACCAGCTAAGAATGTTTCAGGTTCTCTCAGCATCCAAACAGTAAACATTAATTTTTCTCCTAATGGAATGATAGTAAACTCATTCGACAGTCTTGCACCTAGAGTTTCGCACAGGACCTAAAACATCACCCAAACCCATTGACATTAAATGTGTCAAACTAGCCTAGCCGAAATTACGTTATTGATCTTGTACGATGATTGTTAATACAATTAGGCTAAAATGTGCTTATTGAAAAACTCAAACAAGTCCTTTTTTATGTAGCCTATTTGAGCTACCTTTTTGTCTACATATTTATACACAATCTTCTAAAATCTAATAGGCCTACCTTATGATTTTTAATTTAGAAAGATGATCGATAGGCCTAGATCGATGTATAATTTTGGAGGACTAGCCTAGGCTATTTTATTTATTTTAAATATTATTTTACACACGAATGGACATCTCCAATGATTTTTTAACTAGAAATTATGACTCTTAAATGACGATAAATAAATTCAAATTCGTGTATAGCTAATTTAATAGGCCTAGTAAACAGAATGTTGAATAAAAAATTGTTTAGTAAAATTAGGCTTTAGGCGCATCTAAGATAATTAGACTACATAGATTTAATTAGCATACATACTTACTTGCATTGTTCGTCGAGACATTCTAAAATGATTTTTAATCTCATTAACAATATAAAATTGAATGGTTTGTTCGTAATAATATTCATAATTCATTGTGAGATCGTATTTTTTTTCTCACATCAAATAACCCATGCTTGTTCAGAGGAACTCCGAGATCTAAAACGTCTTATAACGCATCGGGGAAGTTATTTTCTGCCAATTCGTTTATTAAAATCATCTTGTCCCTTTTCGAAGAAAAAAATAAGTTGAAAGGAAATAAGGATAAAAGGAATTAGGAAAATTAGATTAAAAGAAAGAGTAAATTTAAATTTTATTGGATTCCACTTTAAAGTAATAGCACTTCTTGTTCTTGTCGCTCAGACTCAGACTTGTTCTGCTTACTCTCACTCACCGGTGACCGGTGAGTAACCGTTCTGGGAGCCCAAGACTCTTGCCCAGGGGTGGTACCTGTGAGTAAGTCACCGGTTTACCTGTAATTCGTTTGTGCCTAGATCTCTGTCCTCTCTGAAGCGCAATGATAAATCAATACCATCCTCGTAGATCGTGTCCATCATCTTGGCTGCTTCTGCTTTCGCTTGACTGAAAAATGTCGTCTAGTGATCACAAATCTTATAAATTTCCTGAAAGAACATGACATTTTCTTTCTCAACCATTTCTCTATTATTGATAGTATTCCACTTCGTGCACTTATTAGTAAAGTAGGTAAAGTTTAAAATTTGTTCTCGTCCATTTATCTACGGCATTCTCGTCAAATCAACTTATGCTTGAAGATCTGCTGTTGATCTCGTCCATTGCCAATTTACTTTAAACCATTTTTGTTATCGCTGCTAGTCGCTATCGGTATATTCAAATACACTTCTTTAAATGTCAACTCGACCATTTAATTTTTCAACAAATGTTGAACCAGCCTTCTACGGCGGCGTTTCTGAACCTCGTCATGTCGCATGTCTCATGACGTGAACGTTGTATTGCAAATCATAGGTGCATTAGCCATGTATTAAACTACATGGGGTCTTGATCAGGCTCTTGATCAAATTTGATAGGAAAAGGTCCCAAAAGGCATACAAATCTGATCAAACCTGATCAAGGCTTGATCAGACACTTTGTTATTCAGATGTGTTCAGGGGAAGTCAGATGTTAGCCTTTAAGAACAAACAAATGTTTATTGGTATACAATTATATAACAATTGTAAAATACCCCCGCCGCAGCAAACCTGCCGTCTAAGCGAATTTCCATTTGGCTGAATTGATTTTCAATTGATCTATTTAAATAACATTAGGTTTAACGTGTACCTAGGTTTGCTGCTACAAGGAAACTAATAAAGTGTGTGTTTTAAGTAAAATAATTATTGCTTAGTATAAAATGAATATATCTGCCAAGTTTGATCAAAAGATATCCATAAACAAGCAAACTACAACATTTTACAATATTCTCCATAAGAATAACATGGAAATTTTAAATTTAAATTTTTTTTAGTTTTCTCCGTAACCAATAACCGTACAAAAACACTTTGATATACTGAATTGTTTTTTTTTTTAAGCTCTTTAAGAAGGTTTAGAGAAAAATTGGAAAATTTTGTGTTTTGAGGGTCAAAAGTGAGAAAAACCAATTTTTACCCCATAAAACCCCCCATAAAATCCTGTTCCCATGGTCCGATCATGCTGGATCGCGAACTCATTCAAGTTTATCCCGCCTTACACCTTCAAACCAAATTTCATCAAAATCGGATAAAAATTACTCAAGTTATCGTGTTCACGGACACATATATATATAAATCTATATATATATATATATATAAATTTGAACGAATGGTATTTTTGGCCTCTGGGGACATCAAAATGAAAAAGTAAATCGGTCCCGGGCCTAAGTCTTACCATGAGACCTACGGTAATAGCTACTTCCCTATAGGGAAATTCGCTAAAAGAAGTTTTACAATAAAAATATAAGTACAAATACCAAAATATTATTTATCTAGTAGGATTATACATTTAAAATTGACGTTCAGTTTGCTACTGCTGGGGGGGGGCGGTTTGAATTTAGCTCTTATCTCGCTGAGGCGAGTCCCCAGCGATTTTGTTATACTCCTCCGATCTTCTACCGGAAGGCCCATCTCCTTAGCAATGCACTAAACGCCACAAACACAATATAAATTATGGTAGATAATATTTAGCCTGGCCTATTTAATAAAATGTTAAGGGAACCAGCTTTTTCATCAAACACATACATTTATGTAACTAATAAACAGAACATACAGCTACATAAATAGGTACTGTGAAAAGTTATAGCCTACTTACAGTAGATTAATAAATGTTCTTAAACTTACAACAGCTAATTTGAAGTAAGCATAAACAAAAATCAGTGATTCACTACACAATTATAACTGTAATATTTGGATTGTTAACAGGTAATTTTAAAATTAATAAGCAATTTGTGATAGAAAAAAATGTGGCGTATTTCATTGGTTGCATAAAATCAAGTAAACTCATTAAATCCATCTCCATACTGCATCAGGTGTGTACCAGGACATAATTAAACAATAGAACACATAATTGCCGAATGCTCAGCTTACAATAGAATGATACAATGCTTTTAGGAAAAAATAAAAACAGCAAATAGGAATTTACCACCAACTGTACAAACACCCCTAATGGAAAAGAATTGCAATCTATGGCCACCATTGCTCAAATGTTTAAAAGAAACAGAAATACAACTGTGATATATTAAATAGTGCAACAAGACATTAATTAAAATTATAATTTCCAAAATAGCATCCTTCCGATATTTGTAAAAAACCCCGGATAATTTTACTGAGGAGGTTGTGTGGCTACGTGTTCGTTTAACCCAAGCCAGCTTTTAAAAAAAAGTCATCATGAAAGAAGAAGAATAAGAAGAAAACACACAAAAAACAATAATACTGTACATAAGCCTTAAACCAATTACTGGTATTCTAATATTTACAAAAAAAAAAAAAAAAAAAAAAAAAAAACTGTTTCAGTACGAAGAATTATAGGCTATACAGCAAAATAAACATAACAAAAACTCATACAGAAAAATAAACATAACAAAATAAGGTTAGCCTAATTTTTCTTTATAAAATGTACACTGTGTAGAAACCAGTGACGATTCCGCGGCAGTACGGACATCTGTTGTGCAACCCTAGTTCCCCTAGGGCCACAACGCAGTCCGCACATGCACACAAATGTCCGCACGGAATCGCCACCTTCGATGCAGGGTTCGCTAGGCACATAGTGCAGAGTCCTGGTTCTCGTGGGTTTGCAGCTGGTACTGGCTCTGGGCCCGGTGCTGGGATTGGACCCGGTGCTGGGGCTGGACCCGATGCTGGGGCTGGACCCGATGCTGGGGCTGGACCCGGTTCAACTCCTTCTCTTGCCTGTGCAGAGAAAAGCCAAAAACAAGTATAAAAATCAATGCAAAATCTGTCAACAATCTATCAATACGAGATACAACAAAACCAACTATTACAACCATATATTACCCCTATAAACTCCCGTTCGCGTATTACAATTGTGTTGGTTCGCGGACTCATTCGGTGTAGGTTTATACGACACGTTAGTACAAATTTCATCAAGATCGTATTATTTTTTTCGAAAACTCTATTAAATTCATTCACATAGCTAATTTGTTTATTAAAATATATCCATTGATATTTAGTAGTATTTCTCATGGATAAGTATTTTATTTAATAATAATTAGTGAATCTGTTTGCTCAGAACAGTCTTCAATTTCTCAAAGGTTGTTGCCTCCTTGTATTACAAGTTATGAAGTACTTTATAGAGCTGGCAATATCGGAAATAGGGAACATATGTGGACCCTAAAAGCCAAGGGGTCAAAGTGACATTTTGGTCCAAATTGAGCTAAGTGCACCAATGGGTTCTAAACAATCATATCTTTTGAGTGCAGAAGAGATCCAAGTTCAAATCTCGACAAGTGCTGCTACCTAGCGGAGTTTCCCTTAACCACCTGGACAAAGTAGTTCATCTGTTTCAGCACTAGGATCCCTCTTCCACCAAAAATTCTATTCACATGCTTTACAGCTCCGTGTGGTTGTGTGTTTTTGTCCTGAGTTTTGAAAGAAAACTAATATGTTTTACTGAGTAAAAAATTACTATTGTGATTCAAGAAGGTAATTACAGTGCTCAGAAGTCATTGATAGTATCTGGTGTGGTAATAGTTATTTGTTGATTAAGTTCTAAATCAGTGAAAGTTGAAACCTATTGACCTTAACCTCAAACCTTAGGTAAGTAACATAGGCCTAGTATACTAGTATATCATACTAATTTTAATACAAAGTATTAGACTCGCTATAGAATCTGAGAAAATACCATTTTGAGTAAATAATACAGGTAAGATGATAAATTAAATTAATGTTTGCAAAGATTAACGGGTTCATACTGTTACCATGTTTTGGGTCGATAACAAATTTTGACATGATTTGAGTTTTATTGTAGCTTTTTATGGCTACTTAAACTAATTAGTTATTAATAATGATTATTTTTTACAGGTAATAAACTGGAAAATCTATTGGTGTTCCATAAACAACGCAAGGTTTTGAATAATTATGGCAAATAATGAGAGGGATTACGGCTCGACATCAGAATCAGGTAGGCCTATTGTCAAAATGTTAACATTAGTTCTTTATCTTTGATTTCTATTGTAAAATGCTATTTCCTTTAACTATGCAATTGTATGTATACATTGAACTTGGTGGTAAATTTATGTTTTTATTACCTCAACAATTTCCTGATATTAATTGGGTGTTTACTATTGCCACATAAAAAATTATCATTATATTATGTAACGGAATCTGATTATTTGTTTGACCAGATAACCCTCTCTTTGGAGATGACACTGATGCTGATTCAAACTACTCTCCTGATGAAAACTATGAAAGCAGTACTTCTTCATCAGGTATTTTCATGATCTCCATTTTAATTTAAGACAGGCTTAAAACCAGTTTATTATGAGTTATTATTTTGCAAATAAAATTGGTTTATTTAAAGATTATTTTAGAATAAGAAACTCTTGTATTATAAACCTCCTTGGTTGTATAGCTATTTCTCAATCTTCTATACTGCTACTGCTTTTTATAATCGTCCAGTAATTTGTGTGTGTCTGTGTGTGTGGTTTTTTAATTAAGGAATTTCAAATACAGCTTTTGACATTAGCCATTTGTTTTAGATTATGATGAAGATTTGGAAGGACCCGTCCACGATTTACCTGAAAACGCAATTCCACCTCCAAAACAGCTCGGAAAGAAACGTGAAGGAGGACAGACCTGTGGAAGCGTGAAAAGACCAAAAGATTAAGAAACTCAGGCAAGGGTTATCGAGATAGGAAAATGTAAGACCACCCACCTAAGGAGCTTCGTGAGTATAATCACAACTGTCGTTTCAACTGTAACATCAATATTCCGCAAGTACAGAGGCAAGTTATATTTAACTAATTTTGGAACCTTGCTGATTGGGAACTGCAAACGGCATACATAAATGGGGCTTTAGAGCTGATGCCTGTTAAAAGGAGAAAACCTAATGCTGTTAATAGGAAAGATGTTTCTGTTGCCTACAACCTTGCTGGATATAGAGTTTGTAGGGAATTTTTTTTTGAAAACACTTGACGTTTCCAATAAAAGAGTGAGAAATGTTACATTAAAAAAACAACAGACCCCATCAGGCATGGCAATGAGAGATAAAAGGGGTAAGAAAGAACCCAAAAACAAAATACCTGAAGAGACAATAGCTATCGTTGAGGAACACATCAGAAGTTTCCCCAAATATACGAGTCACTACAGTACAGTAAAAACCCCTAACAAAAGGTTTCTAGATCCAACCTTAAACTTGAAAATGATGTATAATCTCTATAAAGAGATGTGTCAAGATAAAGAAATCATGCCGGTAAAAGATAGTTTTTACCGCAAAATATTTAATACGAGGTTCAATCTAAGTTTTCACAGACCTCAGACAGATACCTGTGTTACATGCGACAGGCTTGATATAAAAATCATGCATGGAACAGAAGAAGAGAAAAACTTGGCAAAGACACAAAAAGAAGTTCATTTGCGGAAGGCTGACACTATGAAATAAGCCAGAATAAGTCAAAGGACACTGTGTCTATATGTTTTGATCTTCAAAAGATGATGCCCACACCTAACGTCAGGAATTCGAAAGCGTACTACATGAGGCAACTCTGGACCTACAACCTTAACATCCACAATCTTCAGGACGGAACAGCAAACATGTACATGTGGCATGAGGGTCAGGCGAACAGAGGTTGCCAGGAAATTACTTCGTGTCTTCTTAAATACATCCAGACTCTACCAAACTGTGTTAAACACATAGAAGCATTCTCAGACAATTGTGGGGGGCAGAATAAAAGCCACCTTACGACAAAATTTTGGTTGTACATTATAAGAAACACCAACATCGAATCAGTCACCCAGCACTATTTCGTACCTGGATACTCATACAACGAGTGTGACCAGGACTTTGGTCTCATTGAAATAAAGAAGAAACATGTTCAAAGAGACTTTAATGTTCCAGAAGATTGGATACAATTGGTTTCCTCAACCAATAAAAAGTTTATTGTGACGCAGATGAGAGATGAGGACTTCATTCACATCGAACATCTCAACAAAATTTTCCCCAAAAAGGTCAAAGGAATCAGAAAAATGCAAATTTTGCGTTTTCAGAAAGGAACACCAAGCATCTTGCACTACAAAAACTTTGCTGGAGACCTTGAAGGTTACAGTCAACTGAAGATGAGGAATGAAAATGCTGGAAAGCCTCCTACGAAACTCACAGCATTAATACCAACATCTTGCAAACCAAAACTGAAGGAAGATAAAATAAAGGACCTCATGTCACTCTTGCAGTTTGTGCCTCCTGTTTATCACGATTTCTACAGAGGTTTGGAGAATGTACCTGTTAGGCCGGCAGTCCACGAAGAAGCTGGAGAAGCTTATGCAGATGAAGATGATGAGGAACAAGATAACATTTACGATACCGATGCAGATGAGTGAAGTTATAAATCGTGTGAAGTAACTTTGAAGTTTAGCTTACATTTTTGTGCACTTTTATAAGTAAAATAAATCATTCTACTACTGAAATTTGTGATTTATTACCTACATTAACAAGTCAAGGGGTCCAAGTGCAGTGGTTCAAGGGATCCAAGTACAGCCTATAAAACCTTGATGTAACTATGGTAATAAAAATACCTTTGAACAAAAAAATAACTTTTTTTGTTCACTTAAAATGCATAGTTAAATACTTCTCAGATGGAAACTAATACTCAAAATTAACATATATTTTGTTGAATATTGCAACCCAACTCATCTAGTCTGGATTAGTGATGGACCATCATATGTTTTTACATTGTACACATGAAGTTGTTTACTAAATATAATTCAGTGTTGTGTTTGTAAGACAATAAAAAGAGTTTACAACAATTTATTCTTTCATTAACTTTAATATCACCAACAAAGGTTATGGGCCATTTGGAATATTAAAATAATCATTTTACAGTATTCTGTGCTTAAAAATAAGTAAAATGAGTTTTGGCTATAGAATTGAACCTTTGAAACGAAATAATTATGACACTTGGAAAATTCAAGCTGAAGCTATATTAATCCAACAAAACCTAATGGAATATGTATCTGGGGAGAACAAATGTCCTGAGGATGAAGTTGGTAAGAATATCTGGATAGTTAAAGATCTTAAAGCAAAATCAGAACTAATATTGATAATTTCACCTAGTGAATTGAAATTATTAAAAAAACTGCAAAACTTCCAAAGAAGTATGGGATTGCCTGCAGACCAATTACCAAAGTTCTGGTCCTGCAAGGAAAGCCACATTATTAAAGCAGTTAATAGTTCATAAAATGAAAGATGGAGAAGATGCTAGGGATCATGTCAACAAATTTATGGAGATTGTTGACAAACTTCAAGAAATGGACATCATTATCAATTCAGACTTACTTAGCATTATGCTACTTTACAGCTTATCATCATCATTTGAAAACTTCCGGGTAGCAATTGAGTCTAGAGACACTTTACCTTCTCCTAATGATTTAAAAATAAAAGTAATTGAGGAGAGTGAAGCTAGGTCAAAAGACACTTGTACGAATAATGAAGATACATTGTATTGCAAAACAAAGCAGTTCAACTCCAAGAAAGGTATTCACAACACTTATAGTCATAAGAAACAAGATGAGAACAACACTACAAAAGTAGGTTTCAAAGTTAAATGTTTTAGATGTGAAAAAATAGGACACAAAGCCAATAACTGTAGATCCAAACAAATGGGAAATAGTTTTAAAGCAGAGGCTGAATGTTTCTCTTCAAATTTGAACATTTTAGGTTCTACTTCATCTGATTGGTGTATTGATAGTGGATGTACATCGCACATGTGTGGAGAGAAATCACAGTTCAGAGATATCAAAAATTCAAACGGAATTTTGAAACTTGCTTCTAAAGGAAAGACATCTGACGTTTCTGGAACAGGAACGGTTTCACTGGAATTAAAAAAATTCTGAAATCATACATTTGAATAACACTCTGTTTGTTTTAGACTTGGCAACAAATCTAATGAGTGTCAGTAAAATAACAGACAAAGGATTTAAAGTGATTTTTGAAAAAGAGAAAGCTGTCGTCCAAAACCTAAGAGGAAATGTAATTGTGGCAGCTGAACGTCAGGGTGGTCTTTATTATGTCAAAAGTACAAAATCTGTAATGGTAAATGAAAAATCAAACTATACAAAAGAACCTGAGATCATAGATTGGCATAAGAAGTTAGGTCATCTAAATGAGGTTGACTTAAAAACAGCTTTAAAAATTAATCTTTGAATGGATTAACCTTCAACACGAAAGACAAAATTGGAGAATGTGAAACGCGTATTAAAGGAAAATTGACACAAACACCATTTCAATCAAGAAAGATTGCAAATAATGTAGGCTTGTTAGAAGTCATACATTCTGACATTGTAGGTCCTATGAAAGATTTCGTTCTTATCGGTTAGTCAATGCGAGCGGACGTCCTACCGGTTTCCTCGTGAGTCAGTGTATCGGCCTGCCTGCCCGTATCAACCTGTCGTATGCTTGGAATATACATGTATTTCTTTTTCGTCTGCTTGGAAGGAATATAAATTTACTATTCTTATTTTTGCTTTGTAGTTTGTTTTATTTTATCGTCGTGTTGGCTCTTTTTTCTCTCAACAATGAACTGCGCTAGGTGCAACCGTGACATCGCGAACGCAAAAGACGTAATTAAGTGCGTGGACTGTGGTGCAGTGTTTCACGCGGCGTGTTGTCGCATCCGCACCGTGGCCAAGTTGAACGCGATGTCAGCACGTAATGTGTCGGCGTGGAAATGTGACGAGTGTGTACAGAACACTACATCGACCGTCAGCAAAAAGTCCGACCCTGAAGATACCAAGGTGACAGATCTGCTTGTGTCAATGAAAAAATACATGGAGCAACATTTTGAGACAATCGAGAAGCAACTGGAGACGCTTCAGACCTCACAAGAAGAATTAAAGTGCAGAATTGCTGACATCGAATCTGAAAACGTGCTTTTGAAGGCGAAATGCGAGGATGTTAAGAAATATAACGTATTGTTGAGAGATAAGGTTAGCTGTCTGGAAAGCGAAGTAGCCGAACTGCAGCAATACTCCAGGAATCATAATTTAGAAATTAGAGGGATCCCGCCAACGAGAGAAGAGGACGTCTACATGGTTCTACAGGCTGTAGCACGTGCCTTGGGTGTCGGTTTTAGCCGAGACTCCATCTCTGCGGCCCACAGACTCCCTACTCCCAGAGGAAAGAAGTTTTACCCCAGCATCGTGGTGCAGTTCATCTCAAGGTCCATCCGTGCCTCCTGGTTAGACGCTGCCAGACAAAAGAGGATCAACACGTCAGACCTGGCTACAACACTGCCTCCTGGACCAGTCTACGTCGTCGAACATCTGACCGTGCGAAATAAAGCCATTCTGGGCCAAGCCAAACACCATGTGAAAGAAGGACATCTCACCTACGCCTGGACCCGGGAGGGTAAAATCTTTATACGGAAGACGGCAGACTCCCGAGCTATCCGCCTGACGAACCTGGACGAGGTGGAGGAGGTCGCGGGGGCGAAGGACGACGGCGGTGGCGAAGGTGTGAAGACAACAACAGAGACGGAACCACGCGGAACTCCGTGAAGTGAAGTGCTGCTGTGGGTCTGGTCAAACTCTTTTTGGGAAACGTAAGCAGACTCGAAGCATGTTATTTTTATTACTAATATATATTTCATTTTATTTTATATGTTTATTGATTTATATAAATTTTAAATTACCAACTTCCATTATTCACGTTAATAAACTCGAATATCTTTGAATAATAATATCTAGGGCAATCTTCATACAGTAGTTATTAATCAATTTCACTCCACTAAACTTTCTGTAATTTTATTCTCAAAAGTATGGCCAAGCTGATAGATCATTAATCTATACTTACATCTTTTTTTATTTTACTTAAATATTTTTAAATATATATTTTTGTCTACAATCTTTTTTCCTTATCTGACATTTCTAATGATAAATAGAGGATTAAAATTGTATTTTTGTTTCACAACATAGATTAAAACAAATTAGGTTTTAAGTATTTAAAAAATTTTTGCTGAAAAACCAATTCAAAAGTAAGATACGTATTTATTTTTGGTTAAAATAAAACCGTTCCGAAGCGCATTCTGATCGCTCTTATACAGTGTTAGATAGTTTGTTGTCATTTAGTTAAGTCTGTTGCTGGTAATGTTTAATTAATAATTAAGTTTAAGACGGTTTAGTTAGTGATTTTATACCACTTCCCTTGTAAATCGGGCAGGTAGGGTTTTTTTCTCTTCATATTTTTACTTTTTTCGCTGTAAGATGCAAAGCGAGGAGCTAGAAAATTTTGAAAATTGTTTAAAAAGTAAATAAGTTTATTTATAATAATTTCAACAACTTCAATTTTTTCGAGGAGGTGGATTGTAATGTACAAAATAGTGTGTTATTTCTTAATCTGAATATTAGGAGCTACAATAGGAATTTTGATGAGTTAATTGTTCTTTTAAATAATTATGATAAAAAATTTGATATTATAGTTTTAACTGAGACTTGGACGGATGAAAGTTGTGTGCCTGTAAGTATGGATGGATATGATGTGTTTGTAAGTAAGGCTAGAAGGAATCAGAATGATGGTGTGATCGTGTATGTGAATAAATGCTTTGCTGTGAGTTGTGAGGAAGTGCGATTGTATGGTGCCACAACTATTAAATTAGACATATCGCTTGGCGGTGGGGGGCTGTCGTTGTTGGCTGTTTATAGGAGCCCATCGTCTGACCTTGAACCTTTTATCGACGATCTGGAGAGTTATCTGGATGATCGGTCCCTTTGCGGGCGGTGCTGGCTGGTTGGTGACCTCAATTGTTGCATTCTGCCTAACAATGAAAACATTTTGTCCCAAAGATATCTTGACGTTCTTTATACGACAGGCTTTACACCATGCATTAATAGCCCAACTCGAGTTACAGCTGATTCCAAGACCTGCATTGACCACATTTTTACCAACATAAAACATGTAAATACAGTTAAGTCAGCAATAATACACACTTCAATAACCGACCATTTTATAACTGTTGCATCGGCTGACTATAATCATTATAAGGTAACAAACAGATATTCCAACAAAAGCTTTACTTGTGTCGACTCAGAGGTCGCCCAGCGATTGTTGCGGTCACATGACTGGTCCTCGGTACTCGCTACTGAGGACGTCGATGTGGCCTGCGGGGAGTTTGTGCGACAGTTGCAGGAGATCACAAGTGCGGCTACTTCAAATAAAAGTTTTTTTGCCAAAAAAACCAAATTAAAACCATGGATCACTGTTGGACTGGTTAATTCTATTCGTGTTAGGGATAAAATCAGTAAACAGTTGAAAAAACAACCTTTCAACCCGGCACTTAGATTACATTACATAAACTATAAGAACACTTTGAATACTGCTATCAAAAGTGCAAAAGAAAAATACTATAAGGATAAAATATCCGACTCATTAAATAACAAACGTCGCCTTTGGAAAAACATGATAGAAATTATGGGACTTAATAAAGAAAAGGACGTTTTTTCTGTAAAACATTTTATAGCAGATAACCAAACTTCAGAAGAGGACTCAATAAAAAAAATTGCTGATGCGTTTAATGACTACTACGTAGATGTAGGTGCCAACCTAGCTCGTGCTGTCCCTCAGGTTCTGGAGCCGGTAATCAACGATGACGATTTCCAGACGGATACCACTTTCCAGCTGTCGCCCGTGGGTGAGGCGGAGCTGTCAACTGTCGTTCGGGGTATGAGAGGGGGGTCTGCTCCTGGGGCTGATAACATTCCGGCAAAACTTATCAAAAATAACTTTGAAGAATTGAAATATCCACTTTTACATATCATTAATACCAGCTTTTCGCAGGGCACATTTCCAAAAATTTTAAAAGTCGGTAAAGTAGTTCCTATATTTAAGAATGGTGAAAAAAATCAATTTATCAACTATCGTCCAATTACTTTGGCCAGTGTTCTCGCTAAACTTATTGAAAAGTGTGTTAGAAAACAATATTCGAAAACTATTTAACAAATTTTCAAATACTTTTTGATAAACAGTTTGGTTTCCTTACGGACAAAAATTTAAATGATGACCTTTTTTCTTTAACTAATAGTTTGCATGATTCTATTAGTAAAAACAAAAAACCCTTGATTGTCTTTATAAATTTAGCTAAAGCCTTTGACACCGTTGACAGACGATTACTTCTTAATAAGTTGAAATGTATAGGGGTGAGAGGCGTCACTTTAAAATGGTTTGCAGATTATCTCTCTGAACGTTTCCAAATTGTCTCGATTTTAAACCAAAATAGTTCACAAAAAAGAATTGATTATGGAGTTATCCAGGGTTCGACCTTGGGGCCTCTGTTATTTTTAATATACATAAATAACCTGGGCAAAATTAACTTAAACAAAGGGCAGATCTTTCTGTACGCCGACGACACGGCGCTCCTGTTCGAGGGCGACAGTTGGCCGGAGGTGTACATTAACGCCGAACGCGGCCTTCTCACTGTCAAGCGATGGTTCGACCAGAATAAACTAACTGTTAACTTATCAAAAACAAAATACATGCCGATTTCACTTAGATCTGATTATGATCCTTTAGATTTAGATTTAAAATTACATAGTTGTGGTGCCGAGATTGAATGTGACAAGTATGAAAGTATTGAACGTGTGAATGAGTTTAAGTATTTAGGGGTGATGTTTGATAGCCGGCTGAAATGGACTAGTCACATAAATCAAATTAGATGTAAACTACGTAAATTCATTTTTGTTTTTTCTAATATATCCAAAATTTTACCTCTTGATCTTTTAAAAAACATTTACCATGCATACATACAGTCTATTCTACAATTTGGGAATCTAGCGTGGGGTGGTGGCTATAAAAGTATTCTGGCCCCTATCGAAATTATTCAAAAAGCCATTATAAAAATTGCTCTACGGAAACCTCGCCACTACCCATCAGAATATGTCTTTGACGAGTTCAGAGTTTTTAATCTTTCACAGCTTTATATAAGATCATTAATTATATACGTTTTCAAAAACAAAAATTATCTTTTTAAACAAACTTCTCACAACTATCCTACAAGATTTGCTTTGAACACCGGGATAGAGTTGCCTAAGATCACTAAAAGTATTAATAAAACGTCTCCCCAATACATTGCAACAGTTATTTTTTCAGCTTAAAAATCGGGAACCGTGCAGTCTGTTTAAATATAAAAAAACTCGTAAATAAATGGTTAGTGGAACTCGGACGCGGGCATATCGACAGCTTGTTTGTGTCCATGTATTCCTTCTAAAGCACAGTCAAATACAACGATTGAATGATTGACAGGTTGTGATGTTTGTGTGTGGATGTGCGTGAGTGTGAGTGAGAGGGAGCGAGTGAATGGTTCCTAGGACATGCAGGGACAGAGCAGAGACGGCCTAACTAATGGAACTGTGGGGCCAGCAGCCGCCTGATGTCCGGGTGCAACTGAGCAACTGAGCTGAAGTGTGTTGTGTGTTATGTGGGTGCTGTTGTCTGTCTGTGTGTGTGTGTGTGTGTGGTTTACGAGTCTCAGTTGATACGTACGCGGTTTGTTAGTATGTGTAGTTTTGTTTTCGCCTTTACTTCCTCTTGTGGTTCCTACAGTTAAAAAAAAATTAATTTGTATTAGCTCAATGTGCAATCTTACTCCTTCAAAATGTATGTAGAATAATAATTTTAGTTATTAATTAAATTTTATATCAAATTGTATGTTGACTACTGGTGAAGCTCATTCCCCACACACAGGCTGTGCCTATGTGGGGAATAATCCATCTGTGTGTACAGCCCTGTGTAACAATTTTTGTGTTTTGATGGAATAAAGTATTTTTCATTTCATTTCATTTCATTTCAAAGTAACTACACCTGGAGGAAATAAGTATTTTGGAACATTCATTGATGAACATTCAAGATACTGCTATGTATATTTTTTGAAAAGTAAAGACGAAATTTTTGAACGTTTCAAAGAATATAAATATGAGGTGGAAAATCAAACAGGAAATAAAATCAAGTTTCTGCAAACAGATAACGGCAAAGAATATTGTAATGGTGAATTTAACAAGTTCTTGAAAGAAAGTGGTATAAGGCGAAGACTAACAGTTCCATACACGCCGCAACAAAATGGTTTGGCTGAAAGAAAAAATATAACATTATTGGATATGGCAAGATGTTTACTGATAGAATCAAATCTACCAGGATGTATGTGGGCTGAAGATATTAACACATCTAACTATATAAGAAATCGATGCCCTTCAAAAGCTACTGAACACTTAACGCCATATGAAAAATGGACTGGAAGAAAGCCTTCAGCAAGACACTTGAAAGTATTTGGATCAAAAGTATTTGTATTAAACAAAGCTTCAAGAAAAGGAAAATGTTATCCGAAAGCGGATCAAGGAATATTTGTGGGGTATGCAAGCAATTCAAAAGCATACAGAATTTGGATGCCGCAACAAAAGCAGGTTAAAATTGCAAGAGATGTAAAAAAAAATTGTTCTATCAAAAATGTACTATGAAAGAAATGAAGATGTATATGATTACAATCTTCTTAAGCAAAACGAAATAAAAGAAA